AGATCAAAGACATAACAAAAATTCCTTCAGTAAAGAAAAGCCCAGGACCAAATGGCTTTACTGCTGAATTCTACCAAACATTTAAGGAAGAGCTAATACTAATCCTACTCAGACCATTTCAAAAAATAGAGGAGAAGTGAATACTTCCAAATTCATTCTATAAGGCAAGTATTACCCTGATACCAAAACCAGACAAAGACACATCAAAAAAAGAAAACTACAGGCCAATATTTTTGATGAATATTGATGCAAAAGTTCTCAACAAAATACTAGCAAACTGAACTCAACAACACATTAGAAAGATCATTCGTCATGACCAAATGGGATTTATCCCTGGGATGTAAGAATTGTTCAACATATGTATATTAATCAATATGACACATTATATCAACAGAATAAAGGATAAAGGACAAAACAGAATAAAGGATAAAGGATCAAACAGAATAAAGGATAAAAGGATCAATTTGAATTGATGCCAAAAAAACGTTCACTAAAATTCAATATCCCTTCATGATAAAAACCCTCAAAAAACTAGATGTAGAAGGAACATACCTCCACATAATAAAAGCCATATATGACACACCCAAAGTTTTTATCAGATTGAATGGGGAAAAACTGAAAACTTAACATGACCATGACAAGGATGCTCACTCTCACTACTATTATTCAACATACTCCTGGAATTCCTAGCTAAAGCAATCAGACAAAAGAAAGAAATAAAGGGCAGCCAAACTGGAAAGAAAGAAGTGCAGTTATCCTTATTTGCAAATGATATGATCTTCCATTTGGGAAAAAACTAAAGACGCCACCAAAAAACTATAAAAACTGATAAACAATTTAGGAAAGTTGCACGATACAAAGTCAACATACAAAAATCATTAGCATTTCTGTATGCCAAAGAACAATGAAAGAGAAATCAAAAAAGTAATCTCATTTATAAGTATAATGAAACAATAAAACACTGATGAAAGAAACTGAAAACAATAAAAAAATGGAAAAATATTCCATGTTCATAAATTGGAAGAATCAGTATTGTTAAAATGTCCATACTACCCAAATCAATCTACAGATTCAATGAAATAGCTATCAAAATACCACTGAACTTCTTCACAGAAATAGAAAAAAACTATCCTAAAATTTATATGGAACCACAGAAGACCCAAATAGCCAAAGCTGTCTTAACCAAACACAACAAAACTGGAAGAATCACATTACCTGACTTCACCTTATACTACAGAACCACAGAGACAAAAATAACACGGTACTGGCATTAAAACAGACACACAGACCAATGGAACAGAATAGAGAACACAGAAATAAACCCACACGCCTACAATATGTGAATCTTCAACAAAGGCGCCAAGAACATACACTGGGAAAAGACAGTTCCTTCAATAAATGGTTCTAGGGAAACTGGATATTCATATGCAGGATAAAACTAGATCCCTGTCTCTGGCCACATACAAAAATTAAATCACAATGAATTAAAGACTTAAATCTAAGACCTCAAACTACAAAATTGCTACAAGAAAACATAGGAAAAACTCTCCAGGACATTGGTTTGAGTAAAACTTTCTTGAGTACTACCCGGGAAGCACAGGCAATCAGAGCAAAAGTAGAAAAATGGGATCACATTAAGTTAAAAACCTTCTGCATGGAAAAGGAAACAATCGACAAAGTGAGGAGGCAGCCTAGACGACGGGAGAAAATATTTGCCAACCACCGAACTGACCAAGGATTAATGACCAGAATATATAATAAACTCAAACAACTCTATAAGAAAAATCTAATAATCTCATCAAAAAACTGAGCAAAAGTTTTTTTTTTTAATTGCATTTTAGGTTTTGGGGTACATGTGCAGAACATGCAAGACAGTTGCATAGGTACACACATGGCACTGTGTTTTGCTTCCTTTCTCCCCTTCACCCACATTTGGCATTTCTCCCCAGGCTATCCCTCCCCAGCTCCCCCTGCTGCTGTCCCTCCCCTATTCCCCCCAAGAGACCCCAGTGTGTAGTACTCCCTTCCCTGTGTCCATGTATTCTCATTTTTCATCACCCACCTATGAGTGAGAATATGCAGTATTTCATTTTCTGTTCTTGTGTCAGTTTGCTGAGAATGATGTTCTCCAGATTCATCCATGTCCCTACAAAGGACACGAACTCATCATTTTTGATTGCTGCATAATATTCCATGGTGTATATGTGCCACATTTTCCCAGCAAAAGTTTTAAATAGACATTTCTCAGAAGAAGGCATGCAAATGGCAAACATGCATACAAAAAGGTAGGTACTCAGCATCATTGATCATCACAGAAATGTAAATTTTAACCCCAGTTAAAATGGCTTATATCCAAAAGACAGGCAGTAACAGATGCTGGCAAGGATGTGGAGGAAAGGGAACACTCCTACACTGCTGGTTGGAATATAAATCAGTACAACCACTATGGAGAACAGTTCAGAGGTTCCTCAAAAAACTAAAGATAGAGCTACAACAGGGTCCAGCAATCCCATTGTGGGGTTTATACCCAAAAGAAAGGAAATCAGCATATACAAGAGATTTCTTCACTCCTGTGTTTGTTCCAGCCCTGCTCACAATAGCTAAGATTTGGAAGCAACCTAAGTGTCCATCAACACATGAATGGATCAAGAAAATACGGTACACATACACAATGGAGCACTACTCAGTCATAAAAGAGAATGAGATCCTGTCATCTGCAGGAACATGGATGGAACTGGAGATCATCACGTCAAGTGAAATAAGCCAGGCACAGAATGACCAACATCGACAATAGGGTGACTATGATCAATAATAACTTAATTGTCCATTTTAAAATAAGTAAAAGAGCAGAATCAGATTATTCTGAAAAGAAAGGATAAATGCTTGTGAGGATGGATACCTTATTTTCCATGATATGATTATTACACAACGCATGTCTGTATCAAAACATCTCATGTACTCCATAAATATATACTCCTATTTTGTACCCACCCAACCCAAGAAAAAGGCCTCAGGCATCAGGAAAGGACAGTCCCCACAGACCATTTGTAAGTAAATTCTTTGCTGGCCTCCCATAAACAAGGACCACCAATTATAACTGTGAGCCTACAAACTAAGCCTAGCTCTTAAAAAACTGAAGTTTGTTGATTCCACACAGATGTCATGATAAACTTCTTCCCAGGTGCAGAACAAAGACATCTCTACTATGGACTCTTCCTCTACTCTCTTTCTCTCCTCATTTGCCTTTTCTTACGAAAAATGGAGAATTTGCCTAACTGCCTACCTGCCCTTCTTTCCACACGCCTTCTCCTCTTTAAGGAAATGTCTAAATACTAACCCTCCTAAAATCCTCTTTGGAAAAAGCCCCAGATGTATCTGTGACTCATGTTTTTCCCAGATGTACCCTAAGCAGTTTAATAAACCTTGATGATTGACACTATGCCTCAGTCACTCATTCCAGTTGTCACAGAATTCTGGTTCTATTCCTCCCTTTAACTGGCTTCTTTGAAGATCAGTCAACTGTTCTCTGGTTAAGGAGAAACACCAAGAGTACACAAAGTAACATAAATCATTCTGGGGCACTTTTGGGATTGCTCTTCATTTCTTGCCAAAGAGCTTTCTTCCGGAGACTCTGGCAGGGCATGAGGTTGCAAGAACACGGCAGCCATAGAAACCAAGCCTGCAATTAACAAGGCCTGGAGCAGGGGCCACAGTGCAACCCTGACCCCTGACAGGGATGGCAATCAGGCCCTGTGGGTGACCATAGCTGGGTGGCTGGTTGGCTGAGTGACACCAAGCCACCTTTGATCCTTACCCTGTGCCCTCTGTCAGATAAAACAAATTCCAAGTTAAGTAAGGAGGAGCTTTCTTAGAAAAGACTAATGCAGTATCTTGATGAAAGCTTAGCATTTCAGGCCAGGCACTGTGGCTCACACTTGTAATCCCAGCACCGTGGGAGGCTGAGGCAGGCGGATCACTGGAGGTCAGGAGTCCAAAACAAGCCTGGCTAATGTGGTGAAGTCCCATCTCTACTGAAAAAAAAAGTTGAGCCAGGTGTGGTGGCACATGCCTGTAATCCCAGCTACTCGGGAGGCTGAGGCAAGAGAATCGCTTGAACCCGGGAAGCAGAGGTTGCAGTGAGCCAAGATAGCACCACTGCACTCCAGCCTGGGCGACAAGAGTGAAACTCCGTCCAGGGGAGGGGGAGAGGTGGGGAAAAAAACACAAAGTTCGACATTTTAAACTTTTAAACAGGTCAAGTTCACACATTCCTTGTCTAGATTAGTCAGTAGATACAAACAGTTCAGCTGATTTCATATAAAGCAAACAATGGGAGTTTCGAGGATCTGGAACTGTGTCTGGTTCTGTCACAGGTAAACAAGGAGGCCCCTGGAGGGTTTCGTAAGTTTTCATAGGGAAGAGCCAGTTGCTGCAGTCGGCCATTTCCCAGAACACAGAAAGGTCTCTCGACCATGGCTTGGGTAAAGCTGAACATTGTCAGACCTCCCAGAGGTGGGTTCACCTCTCAGGGCTTCCTTAACTCGTCTGCAAAAGGAGATGAGTAATAATAGCTTGCTTTCCACACCTCACGTTGAGATTATCAGGATCAAATGAGATCCTGAATGTGAAAGTATTTTACAGGCTGAAAGGCATCCTATTAATAAAGGTTACTATTATAATATTATTATAATATCAGAGATATTGTTATTATCTCTGATAGTGGCTATTCAGCTCTTTTGCTCACAACAGGTTCCAGAGATCACCCTGGCTGACAACACTCTCATAACGTCTCCATAGTTCCTGGCCAGAGGCCGTGAGTTAGCTGTGTGAGTGGTAGTGGGGCCTCCTCATGACTCCTTAGTAAACCTTGAGATGAGACGTGACTTCCCCTCGGAGCCCATTTCCCAGTCTGCAAAATCCAGCTAAAGAGGGTGCCCTGGGCAGGTAATGGAGCCACAGCAAAATATTTTAGCCACCCAAGGAGCTACTAAGCTGCTTACCTAGAGGCGTAAGACCTCACAGAAGGCATCCTCCACACAAGACAGATAAAAGCAAGCACCTGGGAGAGGCTTTGCATCCTCAGAGGGCTGGGCTCCTAAAGCACTTTTCCTTCAAAGGGCTGCATGGCTCAAGTCAGAGATCCAGACTACTGTCATTCAGAGGCAGGAGCCAGGACCACCTTGCAGCAGGTGTGGCATTGGAATGACTGCAGGAGAAGTGTGAATAATACTTTGGTCAGCAAACCAAATAAAGATGCCTGGAGAGCAGAGCTTTTTCAGACACCCAGGGAAGAAAATCAATGTTCCTGAAAAGGAGAGAAGAGAAAATCTTAGAAAGGGAAATGAGTGGTAGGTAATGCAGTTCGAAGATTTGTTTTTCCACCCCTCAAGCAATTGACTCAATAGAGAGCAAAACCTAAAAACTTCACTTAGAAAAGTGAAGATTTCCCTAGAAGAACCAGCTGGTTCTCGTATTCACTGGCCACTGGTTGACTGGGCCACTGCTGGTGTCTGGGCCTGTTTTTCTTTTGTTTTTATTTTTTGTGTTTTTTATTTTCTGATTTATAAGAGTAAAGCTAATATGAATCTTCCAAAAATGGAACATCAAGTTCAGATTTGAAAAGAATGCTATGAGTTTTTAAATTATTCTCTCTGCTATAAATAAAATCCAAATAAATAGGATCATTTCTGTATTTGACTTCATAACTGAATATAGGAAACTGCTTTTCAATAGGGTCTTGAGCACCAATGTGCAACCTTCAGAAATTTCTAGAATATTCTAGAAAGAATATCCATTTTTGCATTTGTCTAAGTGATTGTGATGAAGCTATGTATGGCCTTCCTTAAATGAGCAGATCTAGAATATGAATTCCTCATTATTATATTATTGATGTTGGGGGCCAGGTCTTAATTACCTTTGCATACCCACTACTACGAAAACAAACATTCATTTTCAGATAGTGAAAGCGGCATCACTATTTGTCACATAAACTACTGACCACTCTGGCCCACCTGTTTCTCCATCAATATATACATTGTTTTAACAACTGGTTTTCCATCACATATATTATTGAAAAAGACCAAATATCTTCAAACAAATATAAAGAGTATACGAGGACTTACTTTACCAGATCTTCCTCATATTTTCCTTGTTCTTCTGCCTGTAAGACCTAGCAATCCAGGGAAATGATGGACAGGTAGTGCTTTCTGTCAAACATGTAGAAATACTCTCCGAGGAAAGACTATATTAGAAAGGACAGGCTGAATGCTGACAGCATTTACTATTAAAATGACCCACCTCATGAAAAACAACAGAATAAAGTTCCTAGCTAAATGAATGAAATGTAAGAGTGCCATGTTGATAACCTGGTCCTGTTTATCATTCCTCATCTCTTCAAATCAACTGAGTATGATGAAGTCAAAAGTTAGCCAAGGGAACAATGGCTTTTAACTCTGATTTCACTTTGATGTGTTTGTTCACCAACCAGGAGCCCTGGGGGTTAGCCTTTCTCATGTAGTCATTGATCCTGTAAGATCTGAAGGCTTTTAATAACATTGAGCTGACCAAGGTCTAATGTTTCGGATAATTTGTTTAAATCATAGACTGCCTCCCAGATGGTAATGGAACTCCTTACATCCATAAATGACGACAAGGAAACAGGCCCAAGATAAGTGAATTTCTAGCTGTTTTTTATTTGAACAACTGGGCCATTTTTGAAGCATAAAATAACTTCTGAACTGGCAACATAAGATTACTTTCTCACTAGATGTTACTTTTGCACCACGTGGAGAAGAAACAATGATTACATTATTAGGACACTCATGTGAGACATGCCCTATATATCAGCATCCTAGCTGGCCATGCCGAGAAAACCTAACCAGTGGCCATTATCCTGCCCTCTGAAAGAATCTTGACTTAATTATAGTTCATTCAGGTCACCCTGGTTTCTTTGCTTTTGAAACAAAAAGTGAATGAACTGAAAGATAGTCACTAGAAGGAGGATGGTTTTATGATTTCTCCTTAAGCTTCATCCATGGGAGCAGACTTACTTCCTCATTACAAATGTGAGCTGCATCCACACTATTTGCCAATATTTCCTGTCATTTCTCCAAACTAATTTCATGATTGACTTGTAATTCAGTAAAAAGTGTTTTATAAATTGGTTCTTTTCTAAATTACATTTAAAAATGGAATAACTGTCTTCTTTAAGAACAATCATTTTTAAGACCTGAATAGAGTACTTTTCTGAATTTTAGCAGAATTTATCCTTCGATTAGCATAACAGGTAGGCCTATTTTTCTGTACAGGGCCCACTGCGGGATTCAAACATTTGTAACCTATCTGTAACTATTCTGCTAGCGTCTTTTATTCTATCCTAGTAAATCTGTTTCCTAAGTAGACAACAAGAATGATCTAAACAAGAAAGTACAAAATTGTGGTAATATAAAGGGAAAAGTGTTAAATGTGGAATCAGGAGACCCATTCTTCAGTCCTGAGTTTGCCATATTCTGCTTACAGGCCCTTGAACAAATAATTAAACATTTTCAATCCCCCATAAAAAAAGATGAATAATACCTAATAATAGTCTTTTATAAGGACAAACAATATAATAAAATTGAAAGCTCTTTGATAACTATAAATTTCTCTGAACAAAGAACTCCTTTGTTCTTACAACTGACAGACAAATTAATAAAATGATATTAATATAAGCCTGCGGATCAGACACATCTAGGTTCAAAATCTGACTATAAGACTGACATGTAAGTGGCCTGGTACACTGAAGTAGACAGAATTAAATTTCCCCCAAGACTAGGGGGAAAGCCCTAATCCCAGTGACTAGGAATAAATGAGAATACATCCAGGGAAAAAGGAAGTTTGCAGATGTTATTATGGTTACTAATCAGTCAACCTTAAATTAGTAAAACTGGAAATTATGGAGATGAGTTTAATATAATCACATGAGCTCTTTAAAAGCAAGTTTTCACTGGATAGTAGCAGAAGGAGGAGGCAGAGTGATTGGAAGCATGAGGAGGATTTGATGAATGGTTGCTATCTTAAAAGATAATGTAAAGGTTAAAAGGAACTCAAAGTGATCTCTAGAAGCTGAAGCAACCCCTGGTCAATAGCTCACAAGAAAACAGCAACGTCAGTCCTACAACTGCAAGGACCTTGATTCTGCCAACAACGTAATTGAGCTTAGGAGTGGATTCTTTCCCCAAGCCTGAGTTAAGAGCCTAGCACAGCAATACCCTGCCCTGGAGCTGAGACCCTAAGCAGAGAACCCACTTGAGTCTGCCCAGACTGCCGATCCACAGAATTGTGAGAAAATAAATGAGTGTTGCTTTAAGCTACTAAGTTTATGTTAATCTGTCAGACAACAGTAGAAAACCTATACAGGCAAGTTTAAGTCAGTTAAGTATAGTCCACCCAGTGCCTGGTGTGTAGCAGGAGAAGAGGAATCTGTAAAATATTCATCCATTCCTTCATTTAGAACTCCATTTCCCCAACTGTAATGTGTTCATGAATCACCTAGGAATCTTGTTATAATATAGATTTTTATTCAGTAGATCAAGGTGGAGCCTGAGACGGTGCATTATTGAGAAGCTCCCACGTTGTGCTGATGCCAATGCCACTCATCAAGAATCACACTTGGGGAGGCAGGGCTATGGAGCTCACTTCCCCAGTCAATCTGAACCCTGACTGTACATAGACTGTACATTTGGGGGAACTTTTAAAGTGCTCAGAAGCCTGGATTCTGCTTGTAATTTTATTGGTCTCAGGTGAAACAGAGGGATGAGTATCTTTTTTAAAATTCTTAGCATGAATCTCCTCTCAAGCCAGGGATGAGTATTGCCCAAGACTTCTGCTACTCAAAGCATGGTCCTCAGACCAGCAGCCCTAGTTTTACCTGGGAGCATGTTAAAAACGCAGATCTCCACTCCAGACCCATTCAACTGGAATCACTGGGAGTAAAATCCAAGTATCTGTGCTTTTAGTAGCTCTCCAGATGATTCTAATGCTTGCTGGAGCGTGAGACACATTGTCTTAGAACAATACTCTAATTTCACAGGTGTAGAAATGAAACCCAGAGAGATTAAATGATTTTCTAAGACAGAAACTGGAACACTATAGCCTGTGGGACCAAACTGGCCAGTCGCTGTTTTTGTAAACCAAGTTATATTGGAACAAAAGCCATGCCCATTCACTTACGTGTTATCTGTGTCTACTAGCAGAAAGCGGAGGAGTAACAACAAAGACCAAATGGTTTGCAAAAATGAAAACATTTACAATCTGACCCTTAAAGAAAAAGTTTGCTAGCCAGGCACAGTGGCTCATACCTGTAATCCTAGCACTTTGGGAGGCCGAGACAGGTGGATTGCCTGAGCTCAGGAGTTCGAGACCAGCCTAGGCAAGATGGTGAAACCCTGTCTCTACTAAAATACAAAAAATCAGCTGGGCTTGGTGGCAGGCGCTTGTAATCCCAGTTACTCAGGAGATTGAGGCACATAAGTTGCACAAAATCTCGGGAGTCAGAGGCTGCAGTGAGCCAAGATCACGCCACTGCACTCCAGCCTGGACAACAAAGTGAAACTCTCGCAAAAAAAAAAAAAAGTTTGCTGACTCCTTCTCTAAGAATACACTTTAAATTAGTGGGGGGAAAAGGCAGAATACAAGCTGTTTTTAGGTAGTAACTGATGCAGTCATAGAGGATGCAGAACGTTTGGCTAAATAATCACTGGGCTCTGTTTCATTCCTATGTTTTCAGGGCAGGCAGGGCTGTGCGGCCTGATCCTGGTCATTGGTCATTGATAGTAAAGTGTCACAGCGAAGACCCTCAGGAAGATGAACACCGTCTTGTGAGGAAGGATCAGCCTCAAGTGAAGTCTTTGAAGATATCCAGTCTTCCTCAGGCTAAAGGTCGTGGTTCTTTAAACTCTTTCTAGAAGCCTCCAGCTTTCACAGCACACCTTGAGTTGACAGATGGCTGATCAGAGGGTACCATTTTCCTTTAGGGCTGTCAGTGCAGTAAACCAAACCCAACATACACTGTGACCCTAATAATTGTGCTTGCACTCCCAGTTTTCCAAGTCTGGTAACCAATGACCATGAGGAATCACCTGTGGTCAAACAACTCAGCATAAATTTGGCAGCTGGAAAGAGTGCTCATTTATTTCTAACTCTGTAGGTCAGAAGTCTAGGGGGCCTTAACTGTGTTCTCTGCTTAGGGTCTCACAGACCAAAGAGCTGGGCTCTTCCCTGGAGGCTGTGGGGGAGAATCTACTTCCAAGTTCATTGAGCTTACTA